CTGATTTTTAATAAAAAATGTTTTTCTTTATTGATTTTAGAGAGAGAGAAAGGGAGAGGGAGAAAGAGAGAGAAATATCGATGAGCGAGAACATGGATTGGCCGCCTCCTGACTGCCCGCCCCCGCCCCCCCCCCCCCCCCCCGCCCCAACCTGGGCGTGTGCCCTGACTGGGAATCGAACCATTGACCTCTTGGTGCATGGGTCAACACTCAGCCACTGAGCTACACTGGCTGGGCAGTGACTGCTGATTTTTTAAAATTATGTACTTAGCCTGAACTTAAAGGGAAGCTGTAGATTAGAAAGCAAGGACCCTAATAAGTTTTTTAAGTCTGCTTTTTATCCTAAAAATTACTGGTCTATGTAGTATTATTACTCTTTTGTAGGATTATGGAAAACAGCTTTAAAATAAAAATAAAAAAACTTTTGTAAACCCTGAGGATCATTTTTCTTTAAAACATTTTTTTTCCTTATTGATTTTAGAGAGAGAGGAAGGGAGAGGGGGAGGGAGATGAGAGAGAATATTGATTGCCTGCCTCCTGCATGCCCCCCACTGGGGATCTGGCCCACAACCTGGGCATGTGCCCTGACCAGGAATCAAACTGGCGACCTCCTGGTGCATGAGTCGACACTCAACCATTGAGCCACACTGACCGGGCTCATTTTTCTTTTAAAAAGAAAATCTCATAACTAGCAAAACTGCTAGGAAACCTAATCAAGATTATCAATTTCACCGGTGTTCTTTTAATTATTCACATTTCATCCTGTGCGGAAAAGAGAACTTGTACTTATTTCATTTAATAGAAAACATAACCTCATAGGGGTATGTAAAAGGAAAAATTTTAAGGTAGATTTTGCTTTATGTTTTTGAGATACCATAAGAGAAGTAAGCCCTACACATGATTGGAATGACTTTTATTAATCTGCCCAAGGACATATGTAGCTAACACCATGGTACATTCATAGTAGAGAAGTTAGTTTATTACCTATAGTAATGCCTTAGGGCTTAATTCCCTTACTGAACCTGGGTTGAAAAAGACTGCTTCAGATTGAATGTCTCAAGCTTCTCAGCTGTCCTTCAGTGATGTAGTTCCCATCCACCTGATCGTACTGGCTGGCTGCCTCAGCTTGTCTGCACTACTGATTTGTAACTGTCATTCTTCAAGTATAGCACACACTTCAGTTTTCTTTCAGTGCGGAGTATTCTGAATGAATCGATTCTGAATATGAGGGCTTTGTGTGTGTGGTTGTTCTGTTTTTTGTCTTTTTTTTTAAGAAGTCACATTTTACTACTAGATCCTCTGGAGGATATGCATTTATTTTTTTCAATCTACTCCATGAATTACATATTAGCTCTATCAGGATAACTGAGTTTAAATTATATTATCATGAGAGGTATTAGTTTGACCAAACACTGTGTTTATTTGCAAATTTGTTAGCCCCTTTTTTTCCTGTACCTGACTTCAAATCAGTGGTAAAATTGCTTAAAAGGTAGAGTCAAGGACAGCTACTGCTGTAGATACTATTCTAGACTGACCCTAAGCTGTGCATAAATACTATTTGGATATAATTTTTAACCTGTTGTCACTCCATATTTAATAATCTTATTTAAATCAGTGTTATAGGATATTTACTTAGCTGGGTTGTTTTGTTTTATTTAATCTATCCTTACCTGAGGACATTTTCTTTTTTGCATTTATCTTGAGGGAGGGAGAGAGAGAGAGAGAGACATCAACGTGAGAGAGACATATCGAGTGGTTGCCACCCACACGACCCCAACCAGGGCCGGGACAAACTGCAATTGAGGTATGGGCCCTTATTGGAAACCAAACCTGGGACTCTCTGGTCTGCGGGCCAATGCTCTAACAACTGAGCCATACCGGCCAGGGCTGGGGTTTTTTGTTTGTTTGTATTTTAAGTAAAGGCACACTTTGACAGCGTTAGGAAAACCATGTATACCCTTGATTATCTCTACATTACTTTCTAAATGCTTTTAATGTGCTGATAAAATGATCTCGGATTTTACTGGGATGTGACATCAGGCACATTGGTTTGTAATTTTCAGAAATTCACCTGTTTTGTTTTGTTTTATATCTCCAGTCTTTAGAGATTTCTTTAGTTTTCTTTGAATTTTCAAAGATCACTCCTATCGTGATCTGACATTATTCCAAGTAGTAAATGGTGGCTATATTAGTCAGCTTGGGTTGCCATAATGTTAAGACTGGGTGGGCGTCTTATACAGCAAAAATTTATTTTCTCAGTCTAGAGACTAGAAGTCCCAGGTAAAGGTCCAGCAGGGTCAGTTTCTGGTGAGAGATCTCTTTCTGGCTTGCAGACGGCCACCTTTTTGCTGTGTCTTCACATGGTGGAGAAAAAAATGTGTACACACACACACACACACACACACATCTTTTTCTCTCTCTTCCACCAGTCCTGACAGGTTAGGATCCCTCCCTGTGATGTCATTTAATTTTAATCACCTCTTTAAGACCCTGTCTCCAAATATAGTCACATTGGAGAATAGGGTTTCAACATAAGAATTGTGGGGCAACACATTCAGTCCGAAGCAGTGGACCCAGGGTTCAAACTTTGATCTGTCTTGATTCCAGAGTTTTAGTCACTGTGTTTATAGCTTTCCTTAGGTGCTGTCTTACCTACTCTCACCTACCATAAACTGGACTTATTCTTACTTTTCAGTGAAACAAAATAATAGTTTTGATTTTTCTATTCTTGCTAATGGAGCATAAATATTCCCCAGACTTTCCACATGCTTTAATGTGTGCATTATGAATTCCAGAGTGGGAATAAATAAGGCAAGCCCATCATGTATAGTATGCTGTATTTACCCAGTTTATTAAATTATACATTCTTCATTTTGTTTTTTATTATTTTCTCATACATTTTTAACATACCTACTGACATTTCTTATATAGTTTTTGTTTTATCCCTCAAGTTTTGTTTTATGCCCTCCTTAAGGATGAGGATGGAGAATCCTGATACTGTTTGTACCTAGTTCTTCATAATTTTGAGACTAATGTAGAGAATATGCATTCCTCTGTGTAACTTACCCCCCTATTCCTTTTTAAAATCGAAATTTACAGTAAAATGCACAGATTATAAGTGTATAGTCTTGAATTTTAGCAAATATATACACTCATGTAACCTTTTCCCAATCAAGATAAGAAAGATTTCCATCACTCCAGCACTTTCTCTCATGTCCCTTTTCAGTCAGTCTTCCTGTCTCCAGAGGTAACCTATATTCTGATTTCACTCACCAGAGATTAACTTTGCCTATTCTAGAACTTTATAAAAATGGAATCATACAGTATGTTCTCTTGTGTCTTAACTCTTGTTCAACATAACATTTTTGAGATTTATTCATATTATTCTGTATATTAATGGTTTGTTCTTTTTATTGCTCAGTAGTATTTCATTATATGATTGTACACCAGTTTGTTTATCCATTTTCTTACTGATGGACATTTGCATTTCTGGTTTTTGGCTCTTAATGAATCAAGCTACTATAAACATTCTTAGATGGGTTTTATGAAATTTCTCTTGGGTAAATAACTGTAGTGGAGTTGTGGGATCATACGGTAGGTCTCCATATATCTGGTTAGCTGACTACTTCCTTAGCACATTGATTGATTACTGGGCATCTGTTCAGCCTTTTGCTAGCCCTGTTGAATACTTGTGCTCTTTCCCATATTTCAAACAATTCTGATTACTTTTTTTAAATTTCAAAGCCTTGAAAAGCTACATATGAATCATGGATAATAGTATTTTGTTTTCTTCCTTGCTACTTTGTATATTTATAGTTATTTTACACTTTTGAACACTTTTCATGTACATTAGTTTTTTAGCTGTATAGCGGACTTAAGACAAGTAGTAGACAGGTGGTATATCCCCTTTTTACAGCTAAGAAAACTGAGTGTCAGTTTTACAAGACTTGAGATGCTTCTGTTCTGGTTCTGATCCTTTTCATTTGATATGTAGTTTTTCATTCATCCACCAAAGATAGGATCATCACTATAAGGAGAAAATTGAATTTTTTTAGTTCTGACTATACTGCTTAATTTTGATGGCATACTAGAATCCTTAGGATCTTAATGCAAGATGTGTTTTGAACTTTTTCTTATGCTTCTGGGAAACAGATCCCTTTGCACAGTAAACTCTTAAATTGCTTTGTCAATACCAGCTTTCCTATACAGCAAAGACTGTGTGTGTGTGTGTGTGTGTGTGTGTGTGTGTCGTGAACTAGATCATAATGATCTTTTATTTTGTAAAATACAGCAAGTATAGTACTTTTGGACATGGTTTGCTTTTAATGGAAAAGCAATAAATTGCCCTGGCTGGTTTGCCTCAGTGGTTAGAGCGTCAGCCTGCAGATCAGAGAGTCCCAGGTTTGGTTCCCACTAAGGGCACGTACTTGGGTTGCAGTTTGTCCCCGGCCCTGGTTGGAGTTGTGCAGGTGGCAACCACTCGAAGTGTCTCTCTCACGTCGTCGCTGTTTCTCTCTCTCTTCCTCCTTCTCTCCCTCCCACTCTATCTGAAGAAAAATGTGAAAATGTCCTCGGGTGAGGATTAAAAATAAATAAATAAAAGCAATAAATCTCCTTAAAACTGTTGAAAGTATAAATTAATTTTATCTCACCATCTAGAAAAATGAGATACGATGATTGTTTTTGAAAAATATGTGTTTCTTTTTGTACATTTTGATAGAGATTTTATGCCTTTAATTGGTGTACAATCATATAATGAAATACCACTGAGCAATAAAAAGAACAAACCATTAATATACAGAATAATATGAAAAGGAGAATGTTTTATCTTGATGCATCTTGTATGGCTCTGAGTACTGCCTTTAGTTTAAAATAATTTTATTTGGGGGAGGGGTAAATTTCTACTTGTTTACTCTGGAAATTTTATTTCTTTCATATATAAAATTTCTAAAACTGTTAACTCATTTATCTTTTATAACTTTTATCTTTGTGTGTTTTAGGAAGCAGTTCAGGTACTCTTGAAGCATTCTGCTGATGTTAATGCTAGAGACAAAAATTGGCAAACCCCTTTACACATAGCTGCTGCTAATAAAGCCGTGAAGTGTGCTGAAGCTTTGGTACCTCTTCTGAGTAATGTGAACGTGTCTGATCGAGCAGGGAGAACTGCATTGCATCATGCAGCTTTCAGTGGACATGGTGAGGTAGGTGGTACCCAAGTAGACGATGCTTCTTTCTCCCTATGTCCTCACACCTTCACCCCACATACTGGCCTTTTTAGCCATTCATTAGTTCATGATAAAAGCAAGCAAAAATACTTATCTAGCTAATTTAGTCTAATTTTACTATGAAAGCCCTTAAACTTCTTTCATAATTCATGATATAACTTTCTCAAATTTAGAAATTTGTTTAATGGGTACAGCCCATGCAGTTACTTGATTTTCATTATCAACTTGGGGAGACAAAGAAGAACACTGCCAACTATAACACAGTGTGAAAACTGTTCTGTCATCGGAAAAAATAATCTAGAAAGACAGAGAAGTTTATTGTGCTCCCAGAAATAGAGTAGCAAAGGAAGGTGGAGTTTAGAAGACATTTTCTTACAGTTTATTATCAACATTTAGTCAAGAATTCTTTGGTGACAGGCTATCAAAAGAAAACAACTTAAGAAAATAAGTATTTAGTTATCGTGTATAGCAAGCATTATCTAATACTAGGTGTTATCATAGAAAAACATAGGGTTTATGTGTACATAGAAAAATAGAAAAGAATGAAACACAGAAATAGTATAAGCTTTGAGGCCAGTTTGTCCAGTCTTTCATTTTTGTATATACAGAAACTAAAAGAGACAAAGTAACATTCTCAAGATTCTCTGGCTGAGAGCTAATGGTTGCTGTGTTATTTTCACTCTTCTTCTCTGCCTTTGCAACAAAGAATTCTGCAGTTAACATCACAAAATGCATCCTTTTTACGAATCTGGAATGCTCATTTAATTGGGGAGGCTATTGAAAATATAGTTAGACATAATGGAAATATTATTTTTGGTACATTATAAAGTAAATAGACCGTGCAGTGACCTTCAGGACTAATCATGTTATGAACGCTACACTTGTGTTTGAATTAAATTTAAGACACTTCTGGAATGCGAATGTGCTTTGCATTTTAATAACATTTTAGGCTATAATGAAAGGAATAAAACCTGTTTTTAAATATTTCATCTTTAGACTCTTCAGATTTGTACTAGCTGTTCATAAACTATCAGAACACAAAGTGGCATCTTTAAAAGATACTGATGCCTAACTTCAGTAACACCCACATTGAAATATTTTTCATAATTTTATTTTTAAATCCTCATCCAAGGATATATTTCTGTTCATCTTCAGAGAGAGGGGGAGGGAAGGAGGGGGAGAGAGATGTGAAAGAGATGTGAGAGAGACGCATCGACTGGTTGCCTCCCGCATGACCCCAACCAGGGCCGGGGACAAACCACAACCAAGGTACATGTCCTTGGCGGGAATCGAACCTGGGACTCTTTGGTCTGCAGGCAAACACCCTAACCGCTGGGCCAAACCGGCCAGGGCCCTTTTTCACAATTTATCCTGTTATTTATTGAATTACGTAAAAGAGTCTTCAGCATTTAGTATAGCTCCTTTATATAAATGTAGAAATTCAGTGCCAGAGAGATTGAGATGAGTATTCATCACAAGGGATATTCATGAACAATTGTGTTTCTGAATTTTGGTAACTGTGTTTGTTGTAATTCCAGATGGTCAAACTACTCCTGTCTAGAGGTGCCAATATTAATGCTTTTGACAAGAAAGATAGACGTGCTATTCATTGGGCAGCTTATATGGGTATGTACTTTTAAAAAATATTTATTTACATTATGTATTCAGGACAAGTTGTGCGTTTTAGTTCTTGCACTTGGTGTCATGTCTGTCTTTTAGGACAGTGAGAAGTTATATCTGAGTTTGCTGCCCAAATGGAACCAGCCTGGTAGTGAGGAGATTTGTCAGAATAGGAGGGCATGGGTTCTGTTCTCCTAAAAGCTGTTTGAAATTAATTTTGGTTACCCTTAAAGGGGGAAATATCCTAGGACTAAGGTTGGAATACATAATTTAGATTAGGGTTTACAAAAAGTCTGTTCTCCTACCTATCCTTGTTTTTAGGGGAATATTAAAGTAAAAGTTACAATAATACATTAGGAAGCCTATTACTTTGAGCCAAGCACTGGGTTAAATAGGCACCAACAATAATTTCACAGAAAGAAACTGAAGTTTACAGGATAGGCTTTTCTGCTGTAATATGATGTGTGTTTGGAAAAATCTTAGGATCTGCAAAATTGCATTCTAGGAACTAACAGAGCTCATGGGAAAACAGTCCTGGGGCAGACTACCCAAGACCTTACTCAACTTTCTGACCAAAGTACTAACCAAAATATTAATTGGTTCTTGAGGTAACTTGGAGAGATCACCTTACCTCAGGCTATTCTTTTTTTTTTTTTAGAGATCAAGAGAGGGAGAGAGAGAAAGAAACATCGATGAGAGAGAACATTGATTGGCCTGCCTCCTACTGGGATTGGGCCCACAACCTGGGTGTGTGCCCTGACCAGGAATCAAACTGGTGACCTCTTGGTGCATGGATCCATGCTCAACCACTGAGCCACACTGGCCGGGCACCTCAGTCTATTTTAAAATACACAAAAAGAACAGAATAGAAGTGCTGTCTTATAGGTAAAAGAAGATCTCTAAACATGGAGGAAGTACAACCTGTTGAAAACTTTGCAAATCCTGCAAGACTAGGTTTGTGCTTTTGGGAAGAAGCCATGGATATAGGTGTTTCTTTTTCAAGTTTCTTAAAATAGAACTGAAAGAACTACTTCTCCCTTTATGGCCATGGAGCTTAGGGCCTTTTCTCTCCTCACCAATGGGTTTCCATCATTCTGCTTCCACTAGTCTGGCTCCTCTGGCTTAGGAAGAATCATATATAGACTGACATATATTCTGTACAATACTGGTATCCCCTGATTTACCACTCACATACATGATTACAAAGACACCTAACTAGCTACCTTTCTTATAGGCATACTTTATCCTCAGTACTCCCTGCCCTAGGTTTTGTCTTTTCCTATATCTCATTTAGAAGTAAAAGATTAAAGAGTCAATGAAGAGTATTAATTTTAAAAATTAAAATTTTAAATACAAGAAAAATTAACTTTAACAAGGTATCAGTAACCCCAAGGTCTAGACAGGGGTAAGGAACATCTGGACCCAGAGCCGTATAAGACCTGCAAAATCAATTTCAGCTAATATCACACTCCTCACCAAATTATCCTGACCAGATATAGCAGGCTAATTTTTAAGTTGATAATTTTGTGTGGCTCCCGAATGATGATGTAAATATCCAAATGGCCCTTGGCAGAAAAAGGATTCCTTACCCCTGGAGGAAAATCCTTTGCCTATAGCAGAAATTACCAGAAGCAGTAGAATCCATCTTGAATTGCAAGTTTGGCCATTAGTGTGGGTTTAAAGGAAGCTTAAAAAATGAAGGTTAATATCCTTGTCAGCTGGTCTCTGTTTTCAAAGCCAAAAGCTAACAATCTTGGTCTTTTGGTGTTTTTCTCATAGTAATGATTTGTGCCTCCAGTTATGTAACAGGCAGTTCTTCTTTCATTGAAGGTGTATATCCAGAAGCAAGTCTCCTACGGTGTCCTAACTTCCCCTCCTCACAGCCTGCAGATTGTCCATATTTTAAATCTTAGGATCTTTTCTGAATATTCTGGTGTAGCTTATTCTTCAAGACAATTTAGAAACAGGTAGTCTGTGTGATTTAAAACTATACACCTCAGTCCGGCCGGTGTGGCTCAGTGGTTGAGCGTTAACCCCTGCACCAAAAGGTCGCCAGTTCGATTCCCGGTCAGGACACATCACATGCCCAGGTTGTGGGCCCGATCTCCAGTGGGGGACGTGCAGGAGGTGGCCAGTCAATGTTCTCTCTGATCAATGTTTCTATCTCTCTCTCCCTTTTACTTCCTCTCTCTCTCAAATCAATAAAGGAAAAACAAAACAAAACTATACACCTCATGTGAAAGGATTTACACAATAAGCAAAGTGCATTAGGCCTTTTACCTCCAAAGAATTAGACTTGACTAAACTGCTGTTTTCATGAAATTGAAGGTGAAGGAATTTTATGGGTTATCTCTAAAATGGAGCTTCCAGAATAGCTGTGTGTGTATATCTAATGGGCCATCAGAGGGCTTTGTTTTCCTTGATTCCCTAAGTGTCGCTTTTCAGGCCAGTTGTGGATTGAAAAGGATATTCTCTGTTTCTTGGGCCTCACTGTCCATTTAATTTTTGAGCATAAACATTCACAAATTTTTAATTCTCCTTTCCCCGTGTCTTCCTTCCTTTCAGCATGGAAAGAGAGGAGTATCGACAACATAGCTTCAAAAACTATTCAGTTGTCCTAGGCACTCAGGATTAAAGAGAGCTAAACATGAAGTAGGGAGCTCTCGACCAGTAGACAAGCCTTAAGTCCAAGTATATTCAGAGAATCTGTCAGTATCAGTGTAAGAGACATTAGGATTACATGTAGTAATCTTACAATTTATTTCTCACAGGCTTTCTTATTTGCCCTGGCCTTCTTACCCCTTGGTTGACCCTCTAAGGGTTAGGCTCTACTCTTATTCTTATGCTATTATTGAATTCTCCATCAAGTGTTCCCCAGACCCACCTCTATCCCCAAAATGAATTGATCACTTCCCACTCTCAACCCCATTTTTGCTTCTACCATGAACCTTCATTTAAAATCCCTTTTAGAGATTCATCTTTTCTATTGCTTTCAGTACTTATAGCATTGTGCAACCAAGTTCTATCCCAGGTCACCTTACTGTGATGACTTAGACATAGAAGGTACTGAATAAGTATTAATTACCTAATTAGCAATTCATTACACTAATTCTTTTTGAAGCAATGCATAATTTGAATGGATTCGAAATGGTATTTTTTCCCTCCCTCTTTCCTTTCCATAAAAACGTATAAATTCTAAACTTAGCTCATTTTACTCTTATACATTCATGAACAAAAGAAAAAAGTAGGACATTTTCAAAATTCCTGAAGCATAGTGATCACATGTATCGAATTCACATTGCAGAGATACAATTTTTTAAAAGGATGTTAACTACAGAATTATGTATGTCATGTGGGGTGAATGGGTGGCATCCTCTAAAACTACACCTAGATGAATTAATTGAAGTCTAGTCCCTATTCTGTAAATTGACAAGAAAGACACATACTTGAAGACACAGGGTTTACCCAGCTAGAACAATATCATTGATTTCACTCTAGAACTTTCTTTCCTTTTTTCTTTTAAATAAGTCATTTCCAAACTGGCTATGGAAACACCTCTTGTTCGTGTTTTCAGTGGTCCACTAAAGGAATTCAACCATATTTCTGAAATGTGGTTAAATAAGTACTTGTTAGTTTTAAGATTGTAAATGTGCCTATGCATAATTCTCTTTTAAAATAGGGCTTTATATGGCCCTATTTTACTTCCAGAAAAGTTCATACTTCCAGAAATCTACTAGTTTGTATGCACAGTTAATCTGTTCTGTGTCATTTACTTAGAAGGATGTGTTGATTTTGAACAGTTTTTCCAGTATGATGTATAATGGGCCATCTAGTCTTAAACATCAAGAGAACTTAGTTTTTTTTGGCATGCATATTAGTGAATAATATGCATTTTCCCAATTTAAAAAGCTGTGTTTATGTTTGTACCTCCTGGGTAATATAATTCCTGATTTTCCACTGCATTACAATGAACCCAAGTAACTATCTTTCTAGGGCCATGTATCAGAAAATAATGTGTCGTGAGGGATCTTTTTTACCAGTTAATACTCTTATATAACAGTCACATTTAATTTGGCACCTAATGGTTTGATAGGTCTTCTTTGCTTTTTTCCTAACGATATAAGTATTTCTTTTTCATATTGAGATGGGTAAAAATATTCACTTTAATTGATATATATAAACAACTAAATCTACTTGACTCTGTGCATCTTGTGGTATCCTTACCTAATTTTGTTAAGAGAAGGGAGCCTGTGTTTGAAAGCTTCATTTTTCAAGTTATTAATTTAATATACTTCCCTGTGAAGTTATGTAAAAAATGAGATCATAACTAATTTATTTAATGTAACAAATAATTATTGAGTGCCTATTTTGTATATAACACTGTCTAGGTCCCATGGAATATAGTAAGAAGTAGAACACAAGAGCATACACTATTTGCCTTGAAGATATATATATTTGGGGAGCTAATACATAAAAGCAGTTAAAGAGTTAGTTAAAGAATGATTCAAGTTTAACATCACAAGATATTATATGCTTGTTAGATAGTATTTACAGATACATGGTACTTTTGGCTTCTAGGACTTCTAGGAAAGAGAGATGGTTGGTCAGGGAAGATGGGAACTGACATGGGCTTCAAGGATTAGTAGTAGCAGTGATTGAAAAGAGACATTTAAGCAGAACATTCCACACAATGAAGGAATCCTATGAACAAAGGCACAGAGGTGGGAAGGATAATGGAAGGAGAAGAAGGCACTGTGTAATCTAATCTGATAAAATTTGAGAAGATGCAAAAGAAGAATAGTGGTTCTCCCACCTTCCGGGTACATGTTTCCCTTTCTGACTAATGAATTGAAAGCAACATCACCTCTGAGACTCTGTAGTCTTTTGCCCCTTCTGGCACAGTGATCAGCCACCTTCAGAATGGTGTCAGCTGCATAAACCTGGGTTCTTAAATGACTGAGCAGAGCCCTCTTGCCAAGCTATTACAGTGTTAATGAGAAATAACTCGCTAATTATTTATGCCACTGAGATTGGGGAGTTGATCATTAACCACAGTACATATAATCTAGCCTATCCTGATTGATACAAGGGTGAGTAACAAACCAAACTGGTTAAAGACATCCGGTGGAAATACTAGAAGAAAAGGGATTTTTAACTGCATGTTCTACAAACCTAATTTCTTAAGAAACAACCTCAAGTCACTCAGATTTCCAAGTAGAAGATTCCACTAAGGCATAGAAACATAAATTAACATCTTACATTAGATATAAATAGCTAATTTCAGAACTTGAACAAGTATTGAAAACAACAAGGTCTAGGCAAAAGGAAAATTATAGATTACAGAGTTGTCATTGGATGAAAGAATGTTAGATGTATTTTTCCAGTTATTGCTTTTATCAACATTTATCAAAATTATCCTGAATTCTTTTATTTTTTTTTCCTTTATTAATTTTAGAGAGAGGAAGTGAGAGGAAGAGAGACTGAAACATTGATGAGAGAGAACATTGATTGGCTGCCTCCTGCATGCCCCCGAATAGGGATCGGACCCACACCTGGGCATGTATCCTGACCGGGAATCAACTGGCGACCTCCCGGTGCATGGGTCGACGCTCAACCACTGAGCCACACTGACCGGACTATGCTGAATTTTAACTTTTTCTTCCATCCTCTCTCTGGTTATAATGTGATTTATTGGTAGCTTGTCGGGTATTATCTAGTTAATTTACATTTCTACCTTTCTTTAAATATATTCAGGATTGTATTTTCCATATGCTCATCTATTTGTTTTGCATCATAAACACATTTTCAGGTCACATTGAAGTAGTGAAATTACTTGTGGCACATGGAGCTGAAGTGACATGCAAGGATAAGAAGTCCTATACACCTCTTCATGCTGCAGCCTCTAGTGGAATGATCAGCGTAGTCAAATACCTTCTAGACCTTGGAGTTGATGTAGGTATAGACTGAGCAGTATAAAAGAATGGAGCATTTTATATGTTTGTGATTTTATTGTTGGTGGAAGTTATTTCAGATTTAAAAGATGATTTCATGCAATAATGTTTTTGTCTTTTAACCTGATATTTATAGTTCTTTACATAGTGTATAGTGCACTGATAGACATGTAAGTAGTAAAAGTGTATTAATAGGTAAAATACATTTCAAAGGTGAATGTTTGAGTGACAGAAGTTTTAGTTCTGCGTCATATTTCAGCCCCTGCAGCTCCATTTCAGCTATGGAAACCAGCAGATCAGACTCACTTGGATTATTTTTCTTAAGTGGCTAGGTTTTGGTTAGTTTTGTTTGCTCACCTAGTCTAATATTTCCTTTAAATGACTGTAGCAGTTCACATTATAGGATATTGGCAAGAGCTAGACAGGAAAACTAGAGGCTCTTGCCCATCAACTATAAGTGTTTGGTTAGGAAGGGTTGCTGTTTTATCTGAATATTTTTGATGGTTCTTCGAAACCAGATTAAAAGCAGCAAATTAGAAGGAGAGAGGATAAGGTTCTGCTAGAGAGAGGCAGTTTAGATCAGACAAACAAGAAAGAAGGTTGGACGAAAGAATACATGGCAGGACTTTAGAGCTGAATAGACTCTTAATTTAAGGACTGTGTGAAGAAGCACTTTGCTTAAAGCAAGCAAATAGTAAAGTGAGGGGATCTTGAGAAATTACAAAAATCTAAACAAAATTGTTAGGCATCTCAGTTTTACATCCTATAAGCTCTATTTTCAACAGTAGTGCCTTGAAAGACCCCTAGTGTAGATGAATGAGACAACCTTGTTTCTGATTTTCATTTCAAGTTCCTTTCTGGTGCAATTTTTGAAACTTATTTTATTGACAGTAAAATAACATTTTACACACTTTGAAATAAGTTGTCAGACTTAGAGCCATTTAGGGATGTTTGACTTCCAATTGCATGATTTATTAGTTTCCTACAGCTGCCATCACAAATTATCATAAAGGGGAATGACTTACAATAAGTTTAATTTCAAAGTTCTGGAGGCGCTGAGGAAGAATCTGTTCCATGTCTCCCTAACTTTTGGTGGTGAAATCTAGGACTTGGACTAAAGTCACATGTTACTTTTTCACTTCCCCCTAATTTCTGTTACCAGGTATCTGAGAAAAGAAAATGATAAGTTGTGATAAGTGGGGCCAACTACAAGGCTGGAAGACACAGTCTCCATACAAGACTGTCTTTACTTCTGACCAACTACAAGTTTTGGGGGGGGAGAGGTCCCAAAACTACCTTCAGGTTTCATAATTCACTAGAATCACTCCAAAAGGTCACTAAAAGCTATTGTACTCACAGTTATGGTTTATTACACGGCAAAGATACAAATTAAGATTAGCTAAAGAAAGAGACACATAGGGCAGAGTCCAGGAATGTTGTAAACACAAAGCTTCCATTGTCCTCTCCCCATGGAATTAGGATTCCTTACTCTCCCAGCGTCAATATACATGTATGACAATATGCACATTGTATTGCCAATCAAGAAGACTCACCTGAACTTTGTTTTCAGTGTTTTTATTGGAACTCCATTACATACACATGATTATTTGTCCATCTGTCTCCAAGTCCACTGATACTAAGGGACCCAAGGCCCGAACCCTAAATCACATGGTTAATTTACCCTAAGACTGTAGCCAACCCTACTCTGAGATCCAGTTTAGCTAGCCCCTTCCCTATACAAAGACACTCTTATTACATATGCTGTGTATTACCTCTCAAAAGATAAGTCAAAGACCAGACATTTCTTTGGGCAAAGGTCAGATTCTTGACTACACGGAAGTCATGTAGACTTTTGCTCGTTTTGTTTATTAGGGAAATAAAGAAAAACTTGACTTGCATGAATTATTTCTCAGTATTGAGCATATTCTTTTGAGCACATTCATTTTGGTAAAACGTCAACACGTAAGACTAGAAAATGTCTAGAGCCCAAGTTTGTTGCAAAAAAAAGTGTAGTAAAAGAAAATACCACTCATTTTATAAAATTTCTGCTCTCTACTACATTACCAACTTTAATCTTTTGTCCCTATAAGCAAAAAAGACTAAGAATGTGCGCCTTATTCAGTTTATCTCAGAATTTTCAGTTTATGTCTATTTTTTCATGATTCTTAGAGTTAGTTCTCTAAATGTCCTTTACCTAGAAGGCTTTTAGAAATACATTATTTTAATTTATATTTTCCTAAAATATTTCTCTTGGAATCATTCAGTTTTGTCATGTAGTAGACATTGCACATGTGAATTGTATTCTCTGAAAGTACAAAATCCATTTGATACCAAAATGCTGTTTTTAATATTCATTATTTTAAAAGAACTTTAGAATTATAAGCTTATCTCTGTATCTATCCCCATTTCTCACTTTAATAATTTGATTGCAATCACAATGTTATGTTACTAAAATAACTCACAACAATAACTACTTTAACATTGACCTTTTTTTCCTCCCAATAGATGAATGAACCAAATGCCTATGGAAATACACCTCTTCATGTAGCCTGCTATAATGGACAAGATGTTGTAGTGAATGAACTTATAGACAGTGGTGCTAATGTAAATCAAAAGAATGAAAAAGGATTTACTCCTTTGCACTTTGCTGCTGCATCAACACATGGAGCACTGTGTTTAGAGCTTCTAGTAGGCAATGGGGCTGATGTCAATATGAAGGTATGCAATAAAATCAGAATCCACACTAGTGTTTAGGAGTTCACTAATTAAAACAACATCAGTAACAAATATCATTCTCCAACAAAAAATAACAAATTACTGATACAAGAACATAGATGAATCTTTCAAATATGCTGAGTGAAGCCTTACACAAAAATATATACACTATTTCCATTTCTATAAGTTATAGAAATTCCATTTACCTGAGGTTCCAGATTCTATAATTGAAAAAAACACACAGCAGCACAGTTGTTGCCTCTGAGAGGAGACACTGATGAAAAGGGGCATGAAGTGGTATATTTAAGATGTGTATGCTTTATGGCATGTAAATTTTCCCTTTAGAAGATAAACCAAATAACTGTTGAATCCTAGTTAATGGTATGTATACCAAAGTGTTTAGAGGTAATATGTTGTGATACCTGCAGCTAACTTTGGAAAGCATCGAATAATTAGATGGCTGGCTGGATTGTTATGTGATAATGCACATATAGTAAAATGTAAGAATAGAATCTCGGTAGTATGTGTATGGGTGTTCACTGAAATATTCTTTCAACTTTTCCTCGAGTGAGGATTGAAATATATATATGTACACACAAAACATCATGGAATAAGGGAAGTTGAGCTGTATCTTTAGCTAATACATATTTCTAGTTTATATGGTGTTATCTTACAAGGGTAAAAATTAGACTTTATTTATTTTATACTTTGTCATTTATATGTAAATATTTAATATAATTTGATGAAAATGAATCACTTGATTCATAAGTCACTGTTTATACATAGCTGACTCCTGTATCTGTGATTATTTTTAAGGCTATATTTTCTTTTGAAATGTAGAAATGAGAATCAGTCCTACAAGAGGCTCACTTAATAGTATAATGCTCAGATCTGAGGTCATATTTGAAGTTATCTCCTTAATGATTTAGGAAATTCAGTGGTGGACTTTACGCATGACAAAGGAATGTTTTAACAAAGCAATTAAGATGTGGTTAAGTATATTTGAAGGCAACAGCCTATGATGTTGGTTTAATAATAGATTTAATAAAAGTTGCTTAATCTCACCTAAGGATGTATGATATCCCATTTATATGCATTTGTCCAATGATCTTACTGCCAAGTTCTGTTGGAACAGATAAATACCCAAATACTTGATTTAAAATTTAAACCTAGAAAGTACTATGATATGTGTGGCTTTTTTTGTTGTTGCTGCTTTTGGTCACCTATGAAACCAACTCTCAGAATTTTGATAGATCATTTTTATTTTTTGTTTAAAATTCCTAAATTGATTCTAAAATGAGTTAAGGTGACTTAAAAAATTCTACCCATTATCTCCTCAATTCAGAGAAAAAAATGTGCTTGCCTTTCTCCTAACATGTCTTAGGTGGACTTTTTACTTGGAGTTTTTCCTTTGCTACATTTAGAATACTTTTAATGATCAGTATGTAAAAAGTAAAAATGTTATTCCAATGCCACCTATATACTTATAGTAAAAGTCTTCATCACTTATTATCTATAAGACCTGGTATGTTATTTAACCCCAGGGCCTATAAAACAGGGTTAATGGTAGCTGTCTCATAAGGTTGTGAGGAGTAAATGACTTAATATATATAATTATTTTAAAACTGTGCCTGGAACATAATGCTTACTATATTTATAGATGCTAGCTATTCAGATGTCATCATTTTATGAACTCAAACTTTTTTTACAGTTTAGTTTTCTTTTGTCTAAACAATGTTGGTAGGTAGAAGATTAACATTAAAAATCAAGATATGTCATATAGGGAACATTTTGAAAAGACTACAAACTGAGATCCCTTTATCAAAATGCTTTCGTGCTCTCCCCCACCCTTCCCTCACCCCTGGTTGAAAGAATAACAACTGGTACATAAATAAAAACACCAAATAGAAATAATAGTTTATATGTAGCAGACACTGGTGTGTTATCAGGATGTTTTACAAAGATTATTCTATTTGTACAACAGACCAATGAGATATACGTGGTATTATATCCATTTTCAGTTGAGGAAATGAAGGCAACTTTTCTAAAATCTTGCTGTGGGAAGTGACAGATGGGATTCGTGCTCAGGTTATTATGACTTCAGAGCCTGAACTTGCTTACTTACTTGCTCGGTTATTTTGTTTATTTGTTGGTGTATGTATTTTTTTCTCCCTCTTGTTATACACACTGCCTCCAAAAGATTGAAAGTTGAGCCCTGGCTGGGTAGCTCAGTTGGTTAGAGCATTGTCCCAATATGCCAAGGTTGCAGTTTCAGTCTCGAGTCAGGACATATTCAAGAATTAACCGATAAATGCAGAAATAAGGGGAACAACAAATCAGTATCCCCCCCCCCCTAAAATCAATAAAATATAAAAAGATAACTTGCCAGTTGGATGACTTCTTTGCTTGAAAATATTAATATAAAATTATGAAGTCAAATAGGTATTTATGAAATAAGTTTAATACTCTACTACTATAATGAATGATATAAGAGTTTCTTGAGATCTGCATTATACAATTTTAGTGTAAACTTATGACACTTTACACATATCGATTTTGAATATATACACAGAACATATGTTGAATATTGTGAGGGATTAGGAATTGCAAAACAGCCCTGGCCAGTTTGGCTCGGCGGTTAGAGCGACGGCCTGCGGTCCAGAGAGACCCGGGTTCGGTTCCCGCTAAGGGCACGTACTTCGGTTGCGGTTTGTCCCCGGCCCTGGTTGGTCGTGCAGATGGCAGCCACTCGATGTGTCCCTTCACGTCGATGTTTCTCTCTCTCTCTCCCTTCCTCTCTCTCCCTCCCATTCTATCTGTACAAAAAATGGAAAAATATCTTTGGGTGAGGAATTGCAAAACAGTTTCTATTTTTGATGGTCATGTGTATATTTTGATTAATAAAACAAGTTTAGAGAAGAAAAGTCATTACTTAACTCAGAATAAAAAATATCACCTAACTCAGGCATTGTTTTTCTTCATATTTGGAACGCCTTTAGAATTTCAAAACTTTCACATTAAATACACACTTGCACAGCTAGTCTGATTTACTGTTTTAAGTAATTTGAGAAAATAGCTAACACAAATAATATATGGTTTTTTAAGTGAATTACTTGGCTGCGTTTAATTACAATATTCACTTTTCCTTGGCTGAGGGTGGGGGAGAGATTCAGCATTTCTTAAAATGAGAGAATTAGAGCAATGTGAAATGTGGGAAGCACATCCTGGCTGTGTTCCACTCCCGATTATGTGACTTGGTTGAATCATTTAATATCCTTGTGCTACCGTTACCCCACCTATGAAACAGGAGTGATGTTAAGATTACACTGTACCAACCATGCAGAGCTTTTTATAACTATAAGCATTGATTTTTTAAAAAAAATATTTGTGCTTTATGATATACATGCTAAGAAAATTAGTTGATAATTTTGAACAACTGATTTACTTCCATAGTATTCAATTAAACTTAATGCTTGAGTAATAATTATACAAACTAAAAATACAAGAGGATATTCAAAATAAAACCAAAGTTACATGTTATGGATAGAACAATAATTTTACATTTCTTTTGTTGATTGTTTCAGAGCAAAGATGGGAAAACCCCACTGCACATGACTGCCCTCCACGGTAGATTCTCCAGATCACAAACCATTATCCAGAGTGGTAAAAAGTATTTCTGTTTGTTTTTTTTCTTAAATGTAGTAAAAACATCCACAAAATGAATGGTATTAAGGAATTGTCATAGCAGTGTATATTTTTAATATTTGATATTAGATCTCATGAAAATCAAATAATAATATAAAATGCCATGAATATGTTTCTTTCATCATTTTTAAAATTTATTTTTAGTTTTTTTCCCCAGGGTTATAAATCTAATTTCTCTAGCAGTTAGTGTTGGCTTTTTAAAAACGTTGCTAAAGAGAAAACTTCCTTTCCTCTGCATTGTATATTATATATATATTCACAAAACTCTGTTGCAGAGTTTTCCCCATTTGAATATTTCTAACTCTTTTTAGGATTTGTATTTATTTTCTGAACTTGTATTCTTTTGCATTTGAATTAATCCTAGGTAAGCTAAACTTTTAAATAAAAGGAACTTTTAGGTACATTACTTTAAAGCAATATTTCCCAAACCATGTTCCAAGGAATTATTTGTTAGTAGCCCTCAAGATAATAGTTGTTAATAGTTTTGCAGGGTAAAGTAGGAACAGATTCATGATCAAATGCTTTGTGAAGCATTGCACGCACTATTCTTGATGACGCAGAGTGTGTGCACATTAAAGCTCTGAAAAGTCTTGTTCTAAAGAAATGCGTTTAACTTTGTTTAACATAGTGCTTTCCAAACTTATTGGACCACAGAACACTTAAGTATAAAATCTGTAACTCCAGTGCCTAGACCAATGTGTGCTATGAATGAAATCTAGTTAAGTTGTTACATCCATCTGTTGTGCTTGAAAGCACTTTATCTTGCTTTTCATGTAATAGATTTGTCTTGGTCTTTATATAGTCTAGTGTCTGATAGCATGTCCTTTATTGCAGGAGCTGTAATTGACTGTGAGGATAAAAATGGAAACACCCCTTTGCACATAGCAGCAAGGTATGGCCACGAGCTGCTAATCAACACTCTTATTACAAGTGGTGCTGACACTGCAAAGTAAGTACTTACCGAGGTGTGGATAGCTGTGACAGGGAAACACAGAAGGAAGTTAACTGCAGTTTTCTGGATATTTCAAATATAAATGTGGATTTTATCCTCGATATTGTACTAATTGCTGGAGGGTTTTTTTCTCCTTTTTGTGTTTATGATGTGGTAGAATAGAATGTTTGATATGATTTCATTTGCTAATAGCCCTGGCTGGTTTGGTTCAGCAGTTAGAGTGATTTCATTTGGTAAGCCATCACAGAGTATTTTTATATATTTTTTAACTCTAGTTTTTTTTCTTTCTAGATTATGCAGTTTTGATTAGAGCTTTTAATGTTTGTGGTCTATTTATTTTTAATCTAAAAATAAATAAAAGACCCAAAAAAGTTTATGTACTGGATACTTTTTCATCCAAGTAATGTTTGCTCTAGATAATGGTTTTCAGGCTTATGCTACAGAATTGAGGGATTCCTTAGTAGCTGCTGCAAAGGATTCTTTGCCCCCTATTTTTGTCAGAACAGCTCACTTTTATCTATTTTATATGTTAAAATGTCCATGTGAGATTTTGTTTGAAAGATGGATTCTCTTGCATGCTCTGCAGAAGTAAACACACTACGTAAATTGATGTTTATTTAGCATTTCTACGTGTTTTTATAATTCTGTTACATTTCTATTTTAACCTGTTTTAAACCTTCTTTTAAACTTTCTATAAATGATATGCTTCTGTACACTTTTTTGTTTACATGAAGTTGATTTAGCCATAAAGTTGGGGGGGTTTTTTTTTGTTTTTTTACATCTCTACACGTAACTCTAGCTCATTTGCTTTATAAAATTTAATTATTGTATAAAGATTTCACAGTTTGGCCCTGGCTGGTTTGGCTCAGCGGTTAGAGCATCGGCCTGTGGTCCAGAGAGACCCAGGTTCTGTCCCCGCTAAGGGCATGTACCTTGGTTGCAGTTTGTCCCCGGCCCTGGTTGGTTGTGCCGGTGGCATGTCGATGTGTCTCTCTCCCTCCCACTCTATCTGAACAACAAAAAAAAAGTCCTCGGGTGAGGATTAAAAAAAAAAGATTTCACAGTTTGCTCACCTTATTTACAAACTTAAGTTGCTCCCTATGTTTTACTGTTACGAAAGTTATTGTAGTAAACTACCTTGTAATGATTCTCAGTGGTGAGGTGGGGAGAAGAGTGAATTTTGTACTCTAGGCAAATGTTCAGAGACTTATTTTTTTAATCCTCACCCGAGGACATTTTTCCATTTTTTGTTCAGATAGAGTGGGGGAGAGAGAAGAGAGAGAGAGAGAGAAACATCAACGTGAAAGGGACACATCGAGTGGCCGCCTCTCGCACGACCCAACCAGGGCCGGGGACAAACTGCAACCGAGGTACATGCCCTTAGCAAGAACAGAACCCAGGTCTCTCTGGACCACAGGCTGACGCTCTAACCGCTGATCCAAACCAGCCAGGGCTGCAGAGACATTTTTGATCATCATGATTTGGGGAGAAGGATGTTACTAGCTTATAGTGTAGGTAGAGCACTGCTGAACATCCTACATGTACAGGATAGCCCCCTTCCCCATCACTCGCACACGCACACAACAAAGTTGGAAAATCTTACTCTGAGGAAAATTGCTGGATAATAAGTTATGTCCGCCTTCAATCTTTTGCCAAATTGCTCTTCAAAGTGTTAAGATTTTGACTCATCTATCTTTTTACTTTTAGTTTCTTTGTGATTTATTTAAATGATTGTATGTTTTTTGTATTGTAATGAAGATACTGTCCTATTCTCTTCAGGCGTGGCATACATGGGATGTTCCCCCTCCATTTGGCAGCCTTAAGTGGTTTTTCAGATTGCTGCAGGAAACTTCTTTCTTCTGGTAAGTTGAACTCCGCAGACTGAACCTTTTGTCTTTCCATTCCCTGCCTCCTATTTTTGTACAATTTCTTTATTCTGTTTTTCTAAAACTACACATAGATATCTCCAAGTTGTTGGGTCCTTTAATTTTGAGTTTCTGTTTTCTCCTCCTCTCTGGAAAAGGTTTTATTTTTCCAGTGATTTCCTTCTCTCTGTTAGTTGGGTAATGGGATGGGGAGTATTTCTAGAGTAGCTTCTTTTCATTGAATGGTAACTGTCTTCTGGGATTGTCCCTTTATGTCTAGAATCAAAATATCTTCATTTGCATGCTTCCTTTTTAAGAGCTGATAGCCATCTGTACTGTCTAGTAGGTTTGTGAAATTATTTATGTCCTCTAATTACTATTTTAAAATACCATAATCATAGTCATTTTGAAACAAAACAGAATCAGCAGCTTTCTATAAATAGTACTACAAAACTGTGATCCTTATTCAATGCATAGAATTACTAAATATATAAGATTTTATTTTATTTTATTTTATTTTATTTTATTTTTTTTGTCCTCACCCGAGGACATTTTTTTCAGGTACAGTGGGGGGGGGAGAGAGGAACAGAGAGAGAGAGAGAAACATCGATGTGAAAGGGACACATCGAGTGGCCGCCACCTGCACAACCGACCAGGGCCGGGGACAAACTGCAACCGAGGTACGCGCCCCTAGCGGGAACTGAACCCGGGTCTCTCAGGACCGCAGGCCGACGCTCTAACCGCTGAACCAAACCGGCCAGGGCTAAGATTTAATTTTAAATGATACTGTTTTTCAGAGTGTTAAGAAAGTTGAACAGATTTTATATATTAATACTTGTAATTGCTGAATTATGGGAAAGTTTCCATTAAAATTAACATGTTGTGAAACAGACACTTCTGAGTTTCTCTTAAATGATAATTCTTAAGTGAGCTGATTCTGTTTTGAAGTTTTAAAGTGTTTGCATGTGTATGTGTCCATAAGTATACACATACCCATTTATCCATGAAAGAGAAATCTAAAATCTCTTCTCAATGTTAGTGATTCATAGGTAGCAAAGCACCTATGACTTTTTAAAAAAAATTTTATTAAGATAATGCACATAACATACAATGCACCCATTTAAAGTTTACAGTTCAGTCTTTTTTACTATATTCTCTGAGGTATGTAACCGTCCATAACTACAATCGGTTTTAGAACATTTTATTTCCCCCTCTAAAAGAAAATTCCTGCCGGCCAGTGTAGCTCAATGAATTGAGCGTCATCCCATGGACTGAGAGGTCCTGGTTTGATTCCCAGTCATGGCCGGTGCCCGTATTGCAGGCTCGATCCCTGGTGAGGAACACGCAGGAGGCAGCTGATCGATGTTTCCATCTCTCTCTCCCTCTCCCTTTCTCTCTAAAATAATCAATAAAAACATACTAGAGAGAGAGGAAGGAAGGAAGGAGGGAAGGAGGGAAGGGGAAAGGGAAGGAAATCCCATTAGCACTCATTCAGTCCCCATTTCCTCCCTCCTCTGGCTTTAAGTAACTACTAATCTACTTTCTGTCTCTATAAATTTGCCTATTCCGGATGGTTCATAGAAATGGAATCAACCAAGATGTGGTTTTTTCTGACAGATTTCTTTTACTTAGGAAAATGTTCTCAAGGGTCATCCATGTTATAACATTATCAATACTTTATTTTTCTTTATTGCTGAATAATATTGTATTGTGTGGTTTATATTTATTAATTTTAATTCAAAAAAATTGTTTCAGCCCTAGCTGGGTGGCTCATTTGGTTGAAGTATCATCCCATACTACACCAAAATGTTGCTGGTTTGATTCCTTGTCACTGCACATACCTAGGTTGCGGCTTTGATCCCCAGTCAGGGCATGTACAGGAGGCAACCAGTAGATGTTTCTCACATTGATGTTTCTCTCTCTTTCTCTTTTCCTTCCCCTCTCTAAAAAAATCAAAAAAACATATTCTCAGGTGAGGATTAAAAATATATATATTTTTTTCAACTGTAGTTCATTGACATACAATATTATTTTAATTTCAGGTATTTATAGTTTTTATTTTTTGTTAATCCTCACCTGAGGAATTTTTTTCACTGATTTTTTTTTGATAAGTGAAAATTGTTTAACCATTTTAGAACATTCAAAATACAACATAAGATTGGTGCTTTGGTCTCTGAAAGCAGTCATTGTGCCATGTACTTAATCTTTAAATCATCCATTTTAAGTTGATGATTAATTTAAAAACTGAGTTTTAATCAAAGTTGTTTTCAAACGTTGTCATAATGTCGCATTGAAGAGTCATATCAATGGTATCAGCCATTGCTTCTCTCCTCCTCCTCCTCTCTTGCTCTCTCTCCCTTACTAAATTACAGTCTTTGAGAAGCCAGTTTACTTTTCTTTTGAGCTTCCAATGACAGCTGATGTTCCTTTTGCTCTTCTCTCCAAGGCACTTGTTTTGCGTCTTATTTGAAAAAGGTTCTAGAGTGAAACCAGGGTGATTTTTTTTTTTTTTTTTTTGTTAAAGAGAGAGTGGAAGGGAAGGAGGGAGAGAGAGAGGGAGGGAGGGAGAAAAACATCGATGTGAGACATACCAATTGGTTGCTTCTCACACACACCCCAACCTTGGCCAGGAATTGAACACATAGCCCTTTGGTACATGGGCTGATGCTCTTAACCACTGAACCACACCAGCGAGGGCAGATGTCTGTAGTATTTAAACAAGTACTCTAGCACTTATCCTAAAACCCTATTTTCTGGTGGTAATTTTTTTGTAATATTGTACATTATTAATCTATTTTCAGTAATTTTGTAATTATTTGTAATTCATAGTTTTGTTTGAGATTGGCAGTGTGTGACTCTTGACATTTCTTGATAAAAGACTGTAATATAAAGTAACGCATCTATAGTATTATATAACATATAAAATGTATTCATTCTTCTAGGATTTGATATAGATACCCCAGATGATTTCGGTAGGACCTGTCTACATGCAGCTGCAGCTGGAGGGTACGTTAGCAAAATATTTACTGTTTTAAGAAAAAGGTAGTTGGTCATGGCAGTTTTTCTCTTATCTTTGTTTCTGTTTATTAGTCTAGGCTACAGAATAGAAAACATAATAGGAGTGGTTTGGGAGAAGAAAGACCAGACTAGTAGAAATTGCTATTTTTAATCTTTATCCATCTAAGTCATTAGTTGTGAGTGGGAGAGAGAAAACAAACCTATAAAAGGAAATATTGCTTTTTATAAGAGAAAATGATTTCTAGGTGAATGAAAAATGTATTTCCTCCAGTGAGAGTATTAAAACAAGAGTATTCTAAGTAATGCTAATATTCTTTGAGAAGGTGTTTGGGTTTTTTTATCATAATTTTAAAGGGGAAATGCGATAGCCTGTTTGCCTCCACTCAGGACTAATATATATGAAATGGAAAATTTGCATCAAAGATTTTGGACTTAAGTTTTAAATACTACTGCTAGGGGAAACTAAGCAGTTGGTTTGAATGAACAACAAATTTCAACTTAAACTCTTGGTCTCTGAAGCATGCTGCTAATCTTATGCTACTAATAATGTAGATCCTAAATCTGTGATAAGCCATTTAATTCATAATGACTTATCAAAAGTACATTTGTGAGATTTTATTCCCAATAATAATTTCATTAATAATTACTGGTGATTTAGGCCATTGCCGGGTAGCTCAGTGGAAGGGAGCATTGTGCCCATGCGACAAGGTTACTGGTTCGATCCATGGTCAGGGCATATGCAAGAATCAACCAGTGAATGCATAAATGGATGGAACAAACAAATCAGTGTTTCTCTCTCTCTCTCAAATCAATCAGTAAAAGAAGTATTTTAAATTACTGGTGATTTCAGAGGATAAGAGTGCTGAACCAAGACCACCACTAGGCCAGTCTCAGTTGTAGAGATGGATTGTGAACATGTGACTGGGTTCTCTTGTTCTTCCAATGTCACCAAAGAACCTCCCAGTTAAAACTTAGCATGCATGTTATTTGCCTAAAGAGAGAGGGACAACAGACAACATGAATGTCTGATTGTTTGGCAATTACAATTTTCATAGTAACATAGTAAGTTGATGTTCAGGTTTATAAGAATTAAACTGTAGAAATACCCATGCATCTATTGTATTCTGTAATTTTAACTAAGAATACATTTAAGTAAGCAATCATATATAGGAGAAGATAAGGGAAAGCTAATTTGGGACATTATGTTTTCAGGTTTGATTTTTTTTTTTTTAACCCATTTTAATTCAGTTTAGTATTTAAAACCACTTAAATTTAAACCATTCCATTATAAGCATGTTGCTTGAAGTTTATTTAAAGGCTCTTAAAAAACTCTTTAGGCACTTTTTTAAATATGTGAACTTCTTTTTAAATAGTGACAGCATGATTTACTCATTACTTCCTATCAATGTGCCATATGTATATATAAAACTTTAAAATTTCAGATAATATGAATTTTAATGTTTTTGTTCTTCATAAAACATAAATCATGCCATTTTGTTCACTTTACCCTCATTTAAAAACAAGCTTATATGCTCATTTAAACCTACCAATTTTGTTATAAAACTACTGACAGTTAAGTCTTCTGTTTTTCTGTGGATAGGAATTTGGAGTGCCTAAACCTTCTGCTAAATACTGGTGCAGACTTCAACAAAAAGGACAAATTTGGGAGGTAAGGTGTGATTCAGTTCTTCTATAGAGCTAACTAATGTTATTTGCTTAATGACTTGCTTGACCTTCTAACTGGCTTCTGAGAATTAACTGAACAATTCAGCAGCTTTTACATTGTGATATTGATTCATTGAGAGGCCCAAGTAAGTCGGTAACTTCTAAATACTCATTCCTTCCCATGACCTTCTTCCACCTGAGTCCCTGCCACAGCCCCAAGCTGCCTTCTGGCACTTTATACCTTTACATTGTAAGCACTTCTATACCTCTTCATATCATTTCTCCTGTAATTATAGCCATGGAAATGTAAAGCCCTGTAGTACCTTCAAGAAATAAACTCATGAGACCTAGAACTCAATAGTACAATTCTCCTCCTCAAATAATTTCTTTGTCAAAGAGTGTACTGCCCATATTTGGTTATAGAACACTAGAGAGAGGGAAGAAACGACAAATATGTGTAAATTTTTTTTCTTCTCTCCTGTAACTCCCCACATACACATATATACATACCAGCATATCCATGTACACTCCCTGGGTATGACGTGTAAGAAAGCAGTTGAGAAATGACCGAGTTTCTTTGTAGTCACTCAGCCAATCCCTATTCTCAGGGTTCAAACCCAGGCTTCATCGTTACTAACACTTGTGGTATCAGTACTTAAAGCCACCATTATCTACTAAGTTACTTAGAGTAGGAATTGACCCACAGTGTGTTAGAACCATATAAGTAAAGATTGAAGGCAGTTTGGATTGGTTTGAAAAGTAGAGGTGGCAATATGAACAAAAGTGTATGTGTCAAGAGTTTGAGAATTGTATCAAAGTGTATATGACAAAAAAGGGTGGGTGTGTAAGAAGGAAATGTGATTAGGCCAGTGCAGAAATAAATAGAATTAATTATGGTAGGGAATCAGAAATGCTATAAGAAAAGAAAAAACTCTGCTGTCTGACCTTACAATTACTTTGAGGAATAGATGGCTCTCATAAGCCTACTAATGGAAGGAACCTAATCACCTGCAAAATCAAAAATCACTTTGTTTGGCTTTGGAATGCAATATTTTTATAGTGAATTTGCTTTTATAATTACACTTCAATCCATCTTATATTAGTTAATTTGTAACACGTGAAGCATTCTATACTACAATAGAGCTTCTGAAACACATTCTAAGTATAGAAACTTGCAGTAATTCAAGGTTAATTGCATTTTTAAAAGTATTACTATGCTATACCATCATCCAGTAAAGTAAATAATGTTTTGCTGCTGTTTTACTTGGTAAATGTTTTAGAAATAATTATAGCATGAAGACTGGACTAAATTTTACCTTCACTTTTTTGTTTTATTATAGTCATCATCATCATCATCATCATTATTATTAAAGGTCATGGAATCATAGCTTTATAATACAAAGACAGGGACTCCTGAATTTAGTAACATTCTCTTTCATTTCAGTAACTGCAAAGAAATATGCTATGAATATTCAGTCTTTAGAAATTAAAACAGTGTTCTAACTTCTGAATAGTGACCAATCTTAAAAACTATGTAATTTTTGCTTCTAAACTCTGATATTACTTTGTAGCTCTACCATATAGTGGATATAAATAACTGAGCATTCTTTTTTTTTTTTTTTCTGCTTTTACTTTTATTAGTCTTTATTTTATGCTGAATTTACTCCCGGGCCATAAGTTTTTGTTTCCTCAGTTTCTTCTGGGATATCTTTTTCTTCTGTGCAACCTCCTCTTCTGGTTTAGGAACAATCTGCTCTTTCTCAGTGAGGATCATCTCAATGTGGCAGGGAGAGCTCATGTATGGGTTAATCCGCCCATGGGCTCTGTAAGTTCTACAGCGTATCTTGGGAGCTTTGTTTACCTGGATGTGCTCAATAACCAGAGAATCTACATCTAAACCCTTAAGTTCAGCATTGCTCTCTGCATTTTTAAGCATGTGCAGCAAAAACTCAGCACTCTTTTTGGGCCACTGACCCTGTGTCCAGCCCCACTGTTTGGCCTGGGCACACCTACCAACTCCACCACTGTAACGACGGAAAGGCACACATTGCTTCTGTAAAGTGACATCCTTCAGATACTTGGTGGCTTTTCGAATATGCATACCTTTGATGGCCTGGGCAGTTTCCCGAGTGTTCTTAAAGTGAACACGAAGATTTGAACCTCTTGACTTGCATGATTTTGTGGGGTTTTCTGGGTCAAGTGAATAGCGCACCATTTTCAGAGGTCACCTCTGGCCGCTTTCGGGAAAAGGAAGCAATAACTGAGCATTCTTTTTAATGCTCCTATATTTTCTCTTACTTTTTATTCTACGGAGACATGAACAGAAGCTGCTATTTCTGTAGTATGAAGAATTGTTTTCATCAATTTATACAATGTTTTATTGAATTATATAGCAACAATGGGAATAAACAGTTTAGGATCAAATAGAACTGATTCTCAGTAAGCAATAACTAATAATCATTTGTTGGTATAGGGGAAATTTTGTTAAAATAAAAGGTGCCAAATTTCTGTACATAATAAGGAGGGTGTCTGTAATTCCATCAAAAAACTAGAATTATAACTTCTAGAGACCATGAAATTGTTTAACTGTGTTTCTAATTTTCTATTCTAGAGGTTTTCTGCTACCTAAGTTTTCTCCTCCTCAGCTTTCTGTCCAGCCTTCCAAAAGGCTTAGTTTATGGCAGAAATCAGTCTCAGGCTCACTTATAAATACAGTGTTTGTAACTGAGAGGAGTAAGAAGAGTCCACTGTGTTCATGTTTACTCCTCCATGTCCCTGACGTTTATTTTTTTATATTAACTTGGACACAAAAGATCTCCACTGCACTATGCTGCTGCCAACTGCAATTACCAGTGCCTGTTTGCTCTTGTGGGATCAGGAGCCAGTGTGAATGACCTTGATGAAAGAGGATGCACACCCCTGCACTATGCGGCTACATCAGACACAGATGGCAAGTAAGTATCGTGTGGTGAGAGTGAAAGATTATTGCTCCTGTAACCTGGCATCTTCCATAATGGATGGCTATTTTTATTGCAAATTTATATTTCCTTTTTGTACTTTTTGTTATTAATTATCTTACCCTGAGTCTCATGTGGGAAATAAATTGGTTTCATAATTATTCCTTAGTCATAGTTATTTTTACCTATTTCTATTTAACAACCTTCCTGTTGACTGATCTGGTAGAAGAAAGATAAAGGTCTCTTCTCCTCTTTCCTGCCAAAAGCACATCTTAATATCACCTCCATGTTTTTTCCACCTCACTACTCAAAGGCAGCAGCATTGAGTGTATCATAGGGAAAGGGAAAGAGAAGAGATACATGGACAATGCTATCAGAAGATTGGGCTGAGATTGGAATATCACTGTCCTTCAGAGGTAGAGTTCATATTTGCAAGGGATCCTTGTAAATTGGTATAAAAAAAAAAGAGAGAGCTTTTGGCCCTGGCTGGTTTGGCTCAGCAGTTAGAGCGTTGGCCCGTGGTCCAGAGAGACTTGGGTTCGGTTCCCGCTAAGGGCACGTACCTCGGTTGCAGTTTGTCCCCGGCCCTGGTTGGTCGTGTGGGTGGCAGCCAATCGATGTGTCCCTTTCACGTCGATGTTTCTCTCTCTCTCCCTCTCCCTCCCTTTCTCCTTCCCTCTTTTAAATCAATTTCAAAATTAAAAAAATAAAAAGACAATCTGACATAATTAAATCATACTTTGCTAAAGTAAAGTGTATTTTTTTTTTTTTTTTTAATCATCCTCACCGAGGACATTTTTCCATTTTTTTGTTCAGGTAGAGTGGGAGGGGGAGAGAGGAACAGAGAGAGAGAGAGAAACATCGATGTGAAAGGGACACATCGAGTGGTTGCCACCCGCACAACCAACCAGGGCCGGGGATAAACTGCAACCGAGGTACATGCCCTTAGTGGGAACCAAACCCCAGACTCTGGGCCGCAGGTTGACGCTCTAACTGCTGAGCCAAACTGGCCAGGCAATCTTGTGTTCTTTTTTGAGTTTCCTAATAAGATATACTCACTGTGTGTTCTACATAGGTGAGCAGTAACATTTGCCAACGTGGGATGCTCACCACCACTTAGAGTCCAGTCACAGCAAACGTTTATTTATTTTCTCTCTCTTTAGGAGGTGTTCACTTTGAATGAAGAAGCTTCTTTTATGAACATTTTGTTTGTATTTTTATGAAACTTACAGTCAGTGTTGTTTAAATGATTATTTAGTATAGGTGTATTTATGGTTTTACATTGTGCAAATGTAAGAGAAATGTTTGTTCTTTTCTGTATTTATCACTGGTTAAAATGCAGGATTTAGAATTTTGAATATGTTGTTTCTACAAACAGGTGCCTAGAATACTTACTAAGAAATGATGCAAATCCAGGGATCCGGGATAAGCAAGGATACAATGCAGTACATTATTCTGCTGCGTATGGTCACCGACTATGTCTTCAGCTGGTAAGTTCCTGAATTCTTGTGGAAGGACTAACATGAATTTATATTCTAATGACTTAATGAAAATGAGAATAAATTGATCAATAAACAAATTCTGTTGCTTCTTAACATTTTTCTAATCCATATACCTGTCAAATTTATACTTGCCTCAGTAAGATATGTCATGCCCTTTTCCCTATCAAAAAGGAAGGACAAAATTAGATCTCTGGATAGAACTCCTTATGTCCTACCCCATATCTATGTAGCATTTACTTCCCCTGTCCCTTTAAATAATGTTTTCCAGATGTTTCTAAAAAAATGTAGCCATGTCTTAAGTGAGAAATAAATGTCCCTGTTGGAGGAAGTTTCCCCAATACTTAGAAGATTCTGAAAGGCCCATTCTTTTAGCAGTCCCTCCTGATAAGGAAGACTCTACTTATGGAACTTTTTATTTCAACTGGTCTCCTTCTTGAATATACACACCATTCACCCCACTTGGTTGGACAAGTTAAAAGATTCTCAGGTGTGTAACATGCTTCAAGTTAAAGGTTTCTTTATTTATACTTACCTTATAAATCATATTAAACATTGATTCCCTTCAAGTGGAAATAAAATTCAAGGAGAGTGGGTATAAAAGATAGAAAAAGGAGACTGACATATTTAATATAGCATTTAGAACCCTGCTGCAGAAATAGCAAATATTTCCTCAGGTTACTATGATATTTTGAGACTAAAATCTTAGGTCCATGTATCTAGGTTTGTGGTCTATTCGCTTATACATTTGTTTATTTAAAAAACTTAATTTTGGAGGCAAGGGAGGTATACCTTCAGAGTGGAATTTATTAAAGTCCTATGTAAATAGAGATCTATAGTTAACATTTATCTCTTTTATATACATGAATATTTCTTAAATTAAATACTTTTTATCTTATGTATTTTTAATTTATTTATTTTTGTTCCAGATGTTTCTCCTTTCCCCTCCATTGACAACTTCCTCTGCACTCCCATCCCCTACCCCCCTTCAAATTATGGTTGTCTATGTCCAGTATTGTCTATGTCCATTGGTTGTGCACATATGCATATAAGTTCTTTGATTTATCTCTCCCTACTCCCTCCCTGAGATTTATCAGTCTGATTTCTACTTCCATGTCTCTCGTTCCATTTTCTTCATCAGCTTATTTTATTCATTATAGTCCACAAATAAGTGAGATCATATGATATTTGTCTTTCTCTGATTGGCTTATTTTGCTTAGCATAATACTCTCCAGCTCCCTCCATGCTGTCTCAGAGGATGAGAGATCTTTCTTCCTTACAGCTAGCTGCATAGTATTCCATTGTGTATATGCACCACAGATTTTTTTTATCCACTCTCTACTGATGGACACTTGGGCTGTTTTCAGATCTTAGCTATTGTAAATAATGCTGCTATGAACATAGGGGTGCATATATTCTTTCTGATTGGTGTTTCAGGCTTAATATTTTTTATTTTAAATTTTATTTCAGATTGCAAGTGAAACTCCTTTAGATGTTGTAAGTATTAGTCATTTACCCCTACTTTTCAGACTGTTATAATTATGTATTTACTATCACTAGAACTGTAGTTTGTTTTACACATTCCTGGGAACAAAGATAGTGACAGAAATCATGTATGAGGCAGGGGAGTGGTGTGGGGGTGGGTTTCCTTGGTGGTAATTAAATAGCATTTCCCTCAAGCTCTTACTTAGTGTGTAGCCTCCCTCAGAACTTTTAGTCTGTGGTCCTTACCACCTTTCAGGATGATCTGTTCTATAAGCTTACTAAGTTTAGTTTTTATAATAGAATGGTCTGAGGTTTTTAAATTCATATGCAAGTATCAAGGTATACTCTATAATGGATTTTAACTTGTGGGGAAGGGAGCAGGGATAACTGCCATAGAATATCTAAAAGTATCATTTCTGACATTTAAAATGCTTTTCTTTCTCAGTTAATGGAAACCTCGGGAACAGATATGCTGAGTGATTCAGACAACAGAGCAACAATAAGCCCTTTACACTTGGCTGTGAGTACTGCCTTCACAGCCAACTTGATGGCTGGCTTATTGGAAACATTTCATGTCTGTGTTGACTCAAACTAGTACCCAGAATTTTTGGTCCATGCAGTAATTATCGTGGACTTAAAACTTTCAGAACTTGCTTATTCAGAGAATTGTTGAATGTACTTTTATACTTTGTTTTGTTTTGTTTTAAATGTTTGTTGGGCTTCCCCCAAGGCCTAATCTAAGGAAGGGGATATACCTGTGATGTGAATTTTAAAATGCACTGTCAAAGTGGAATGACTTCTAACTTGCTAATAAGCACGTGGTATAAGAACCATAATTTCTGTTGTGTTTCTGTAACTTTTTCTTACTTTATAATTCTGGGTTGCTAACTGTGTGTGTGTTCACTGGTCCTTCAATTGCTTGTGCTGTAATTTGGCCATGTGATGCGTGGTATCCCTTTTAATTTAGGATGCCTCTGAATTTTCCTTCTTAATGTCAGTCACTAAGAAGAGAAAGTTAGGAGTGAGTATGACGGTCCTTAAATCAAATACAGGAATGAATTAACTTAGGAAATTTCAAATAGAGCCCAATCTAGTTCTTTCTGTGCTGAAGAAAGAATGTATTTTTGAAAGAAAGCATGTTCCGGTTGAGGGAAGGGAGGGAACTTTGAGAATCAGGAGATTTGGGTTTTGTCACTAGCTATTTGTGAGACCTCTGATTTTAAATATTGTAAAATGTTTATACAGATATTACTTAAGTTATATGTGGATCACTCCAAGTTCAATGATTCATTTAATTTTTCCTTCTCAGACTATTACTTTCATCTTGATATTCTCCTTGCATATTTTCTAGCACTGACACATGTACATTGACTTCTGCTTTGTCTTTTTCCCCACTTCCTGCCATGTTCTGAATAACTAGGAAGACTGCCGAAGCTTTTCTGCTTCTTTGCGCTTTGGGTCTTTGGAAATATAATCTGCCCTTCAGACTTGCATAGTAAATAAGTCATCCAGAGGACAAAGCCAGCATGGAGAAAATAGCTGTTTTACTATTGGTGGCAAGAATAGTATTTACTGTTGGTGGCAAGTCTGAACAGATGACTAGGCAGTTTTTCTTGCATCATCATCATCATTCTTAAAATAATAGCACTGTCATTCCTTGAGTACTTATTAGGGGCCAGTTTAAGCACTTTTGCCAAGTCTTGAATAGTTATGTCAAAAACAATAGTTTGCAGTTGTTTTTTTTTTTTTACTTCATGGCTATTGTGAATAGTGCTGCTATGAACGTGTGCTAAGTATGTTGTAAGATGAAATGGGGACAATGTTGTAATTTAGTAATTAGGCTCAGTGAAACGTGATTATACCACCACTTCTGCATTTTGTATCTATTTCTAGGAGGTTTTCAGAAATTACTTGAAGTGATTTTTTTCTTCCAAACTCTTCTAATCCAGGGCAGCTTGATGTAGTGAAAACACAGTGACTTGAGGCTTAATGAAACTGGTCTTGGTTTCTATCTTCGTACATACTTAGCATATTAAGTCTTCGTCCTATACAAAGACATCGTGAGGGGGAAACCGTTGTGACAAATCATTATGGTTCCTAGTTGTCCTTATTTTCTCTCTTCTTCTTCTGCATAAACCATGTTTCTCAAAGATTATTCATTTAGTAGCATAATTTCAGTGACCTGGTATTAAGGAACAAGATTAGAGACAGAGTTCAGTAAAATGATCTCGTCACTTTAATCTTCGAGATAGTGAGGAACATCAAAGAGATCAGTAAGGCCTAGAGCACCTTTACTTCTTGCTGGTACTTCCTGGCAATTTTCACAAGAAATGCTTCACAGCCCTTTGATGCAGTGTGGGCCCTCTTTCTGATATGCATCTTTTTTTCAGATTAGGAGCAGGTAAGATTTAACTCAAGTGTGGTAGAAGTTTGTGTTTTCCAATTCCCAATGAAAAATTCACAAGTGATAATTTACCCACCTACTAATCTGTAGGTGTGAATGGTATCAAAAATAACTTAGGAAAATTCCTTAGCTACAAAGTGGTACTATGAGTGAACTAGAGAGAACATTCCTTTTGTGCCAGAACTATGTCTTATTACTCCTTTATGTCTTGCTGGGCCTCTAGTACAATGAGAATAAAAAATGTTCAGTCGACATACTGGTTTTGAAATGAATTATCTAGAAGGCCCTTTTATATGACCATGTAAAAAGTAGGGCTTCAATCTGACAGATCTTTAAATCTTCTTACACTATTGTAACTGCTAGGACACTGCCTGGCACGTGGCAGTTATTCGAGCAGGGCTCGGTCTAAGTATTTTTGTGCTAAAAGAAATGTTTATTTTTGAGATACGCCATATTATGTGGTAGAGGGAGTCATTTTAATTTGAGAAATCAGAAGACCTCAAGTACTAGCTTAACTTCGGTCGCTGGCTGTCTCTGTAATTTAAGTATAGTGAAGTTTTATCAGGGAGTTAGTAAAGCACTGAACTGTGACTAAACACACAGCTTTTGGAATCATAGACTTAAAATGAAAGCTTTAATTGAATCAGTGTCACACATTCATTAAATGTCTGCCCTGAACCGGACCTTGTAGACTCATGAAAATTCATATGTCATTTGAATTTTTATTATTTGCAGAATACCCATTCCTATCACTGTAGCCTATTATTTGGTTGTTTAAAAAGTTATAGTGCCCTGGCTGGTTTGGCTCAGCGGTTAGAGCGTCGGCCTGCGGTCCAGAGAGACCCGGGTTCGGATCCTGCTAGGGGCATGTACCTCAGTTGCAGTTTGTCCCCAGCCCTAGTTGGTCGTGCGGGTGGCAGCCACTCGATGTTTCTCTCTCTCTCTCTGTTCCTCTCTCTCCCTCCCACTCTATCTGAACAAAAAATGGAAAAATGTCCTCGGTGAGGATTAAAAAAAAAAAGTTAGAGTTAACATTCTGAATTCTCAACACAGAAACTTTGGATTGTCTCAAATATAATAATAATGTGAAGAGAAGTTTGCTTGCTTTATGTTTTGTAAAGTATCTGGGAAGTCCATCTAAATATATATTTTTATTTATTCCTAGGCCTATCATGGTCACCATCAAGCACTAGAAGTGTTGGTACAGTCTTTGTTAGATCTTGATGTGAGAAACAGTAGTGGAAGAACACCCTTAGATCTTGCAGCATTTAAGGGCCATGTTGAATGTGTGGATGTACTCATTAATCAGGGAGCCTCAATCTTAGTCAAAGATTACATTTTGAAGAGAACGCCTATACATGCAGCAGGTATGTTGCATATTATGCATGATTTTATTTACCACTTTCCATCTAATACTCTTTTCTTTCTCAGTTTGACTTTTCTGCTTTGTCTTTCTGTCCCTTTATCCCACTAGTACTTCCTATTTTTACCATATTCTAAATGGTAAAATTACTGTCTACCTTAGAAATTGGATTTATGTAAGTCTAGCTTCTGAAGTACTTAATCAGTAAAACAATGCAATAGTTTTTACTTTTTGATGAAAGTTATTTTAGATTGGTAGATGCTTTTGTTTAACAATTGATGAACATTTTAACTTACTCTACAGGGTACTACAATAAACATCTATTTAGACAGTTGTTAAGCACCTACTTTATGCAAGAACTACTCCATAATGTGAATTTGTGATGTTGCAAAAGTGGAAAAATGTAAAACCGTGTAACCATGTCATTTTGTTGACTTGGTACCATCTGTGTATTACTAGCAGATACAGAGTCACAATTCTCTACAGGAATTATCTCAAGGCAATATTTATTTTAAAGAACCAAGACACTTAAAGAAATCCTAGCCAAGTATTTTTCTCCTTCTTAATAGGTCATCTTTATATCATTAGATTTATTTCACTTAGTTTTTATAGAGTGTTCCTTAAGGACATATTTGAATATTGGACTTTGCTTCTAGTCTTTTGGGAAACTTGCATTTTATAAGACTATAGGTAAAACTCCCTATTTCTGCAGAGCAGCCTTTCAGAAGCTGTCAGGTATTCAAGCAGGGCTCAAAGACAGAAATTTTAATAATGGATTAAAATTCAATAAATGTATGAATACAAACAGCTATGCAGTAAGAATACGAAGTCAAAATGCTATCATTTTTTTATTTAAGAAGGGACATTATATATCATCTGTAACTTGAAAATATATCAGTACAGCTCATTTGCTGAGTTAATTCAAAGCTTCCATGGAGTGTTTGCATTCTTAACGGGTAAATACTGAATCAAAACATTAGCCAGTCCCTCAGAAGTAACCAGTATCATATACTCTGTGAGTTGTAGCCACTGAAAGGGCCACAGGTTATTGTTAATGCCTATTTTTCAGTAAATGGAAGCCTTGGTTCTGCAGATGCCTTTCACATTTGGAGATATGCTTGTAAGGGAGCATCTTACTCTTAAGTCATAAAAATGACACAGAATTGTAATTCTGGAAGTGAATTGTAATTCTTTTATAATACCCACCTAAAAGGTGGCTTAAATGACAGGGTTTGATCTTATATAAAATGTCCAGAGATAGAGTCAGCTGCAGGGTTGGTGTCAGTAATGGTGTCAGAACTCTGAAAGACTCTCAGTTATCCTCTTGCCTCTGCACTTGTGTTGCAGAATGGCTGCTTCTTTATAGGATCACATCTAAAATCTGGAAGGAAGGAGGACTTTTCATTATCCAGAATAAAAGTATTTCCCAGAAGCCCCCTAGATTTCTTAACATCTCAGTGATCAGTATTGAACCAATACTCCCTTGAAACCAATCACTGGCAAAAGATGTCATTGTGATTGACTTGGTCTAATCATGATTTCATCCCTTGGCTGGAGGCAGTGCACCCTCGCTGACCACATTGCCACCATAAGAGCGCTAAATAAAATGATCATTCTGTTAGCAGGGCAAATAAAGCATGAGTATGGCTGTAATTTACCATGGGGAATTTATGGCTATAATTTTATCAATAAAAGCAATAGAAACTTTTGTTGTATCTATAGATATTTTTCCTTCTTACCTATTAAATTCAATGAAACCATCCCCATATTATATCTACAAAGTATGCTCTAAGGCATACATTTTCTATTTTACTATTATATAATTACTGAATTTTTTATTTAAATATCACTTTCCAGCAACAAATGGTCATTCAGAATGCTTACGACTACTAATAGGAAATGCAGAACCACAAAATGCTGTAGACATTCAAGATGGAAATGGACAGTAAGTTTCAATAATGTTTAAATTACTTTTAGGATGTTTGTTAATCTTTATACTTTTGCCCCTGTTTTAATAAGCCTGTCATGTATATAACTGAGTAACATCAAATAATAGTTTTTTAATTAAGTATATTTTAAAGTTGCATCACAGAAAGGCACGTTTAGAAAACAGGAGAGCACACTTGTTTTTCATGAGTGTCATCTTAACTGGTAACACTGAACCTATTCCTGTTGTTGTTCAGGACTCCTCTGATGCTGTCTGTTCTCAATGGGCACACAGATTGTGTTTACTCACTGCTAAACAAAGGAGCAAACGTAGATGCCAAAGATAAGTGGGGAAGGACAGCACTGCATAGAGGGGTAAGCAAAAATAATACCATTTCCAAAAATTTTAATAATAATAATAATACCATTTCCTTTCAAAATGTTTTTATGACTGCATTTTACCTAAAACTGAACTGGGCTAGGCTGTGTTTATTTTTCGTCACTAGATTTTTACCAATTAACCTTCACTGTTTTCTTTAGTATTCCTTTTTTTTAAATGCTAATTTTAAACAACTACAAAGCATGATATTGGGGGTTGGAGAGGATTTTAAACCCTAAAACCTTTAGTAGAGTTAATGTCAATTTTATACTTGTACATTGTCACAACTATTTTCTTAAACATTTTTATCTTTTTCACCTTTGAAATGTCATTATTTTTATTGAATTATAAGTTTCTTTCTTCCTGTTTTTCATGCTACTTATATTGTGCTAAAGTTACTGCTTTAGCTGACTCTTTAAGTCACTTCCAATAAAAACACTGAATTCAAAAATGATCAGTGCCTTAATTGTTAAAAGGATATATGGGGAATATGGACTTTAAAAATATAAAATTAAAAACTTTTAGTAGCTCTAATTGGCATGTAGTAACTAACATAATACATTCAACTACATGCAACAATTTTTCTTTCAGGCAGTTACAGGCCATGAAGAATGTGTAGATGCATTACTTCAACATGGTGCTAAGTGCTTATTTCGGGATAGTAGAGGCCGGACACCTATACACTTGTCAGCTGCCTGTGGGCACATCGGTGTTCTTGGAGCCCTTTTGCAGTCAGCAGCCTCTGTGGACACAAACCCAGCCACAGCCGACAATCATGGATATACAGCGCTTCACTGGGCCTGCTACAACGGTTAAGTATACAGATACAGACACACATTAAATGCCTATTATGTACCAAGCAGGGACAACTAACTATAACATTCTGAGATGCGTGAGAATGACTTATTTATAAGCTAGACTTAAAGTTTAAGATAAGTAGGAAGCCTAGGAATAATCTACTATGTAATCTAGCTTACTTCTATTTTATATTATTATTTCTAATGTCTTTTATATAGTATACTTGTGTTTTGATTATGTTCTTTCTTTTACTTTCTGAGTGCATTTATTTTAGGAAAAAACTGACAAAGGTAGGAGAAACAATGAAAATGCATCACATTCATAAGATCCTTTTATCAACAGTAACATGTATGCTCAAAATTTTAAGGGAATAAAATCCTAATAGATCATAGAAGTAGAAACTTAGAAACTTTCATGGTTAAGTTAACTTCGACATTTGGTTAGAGCAGACTTACTTTTAGCTTCCTAGAGGCTTACAGCCACAGTTAGTCCTTTTACAGGTAGGTTCATTAAAGGTTCTCAGAGAAGTATAAAGCTATTTTTAAGTAATAGATGTTTAAAATGGAGTTTGGCTTGTGAGTTTTTACTTAATTAAAATACTTTAAGTAATGAAGCATATTGAGAGGTATTAATATTTTCCTTGTGTAGGGCCATAGACTTGATCATCTTAGAAAGCACTCAGGTACATTGTGTCCAGTATAAACATCAATCCTGTCAAAGTTTGGGCTTAGGGTTTTTAGCAGGAACCTTGAATTTCATTGTGGCATTCAGATTAAGGTTACTTGTGAGAGTGTATCTACAAACTAGTTCACACTTCTAACAACTTTCCCACCAAAGGTAGAGAAAATATAAATTTCATCTTTATATAAAAGATAAGTATAGTATCTGTTCTAAAATTAACTGGCTGCCTTACCAGAAGTTGAGCTTTCTATCTTTCTGTAATATGCTGTTTTATTGTTCTTTCACTGGGGATCATTTTGACAAATAATGTTAATTTATGATGAAAGAGGAGAAATGGGAATCTTACAAAATTCTAGTGTTTTTTTTTGTTACAGATATTTCACCTTTTTTTACCCCATTGGCATCCCCATCCCCGCCCCGTCCCCGGCTTAGTTGTCCATGTCCATTGGTCTTGCATACATGCATATAAGTTCTGTGGTTTATCTCTTCCCACCCCCCCACCCCCTCTTCTGAGGGATGTCAGTCTGTGCCCTACTTCCATGTTTCTGGGTCTACCGTATTCCTCAGACTGTTATGTTCATTATATTCCGTATATAAGTGAGATCATGTGGTATTTGTCTTTTTCTGCTTGGCTTATTTCACTTAGGATAATACTTTCCAGGTCTCTCCATGTCGTCTCAAAGGATAAGAGATCTTTCTTTCTTACCGCTGCATAGTACTCCATTGTGTATATGTACCACAGCTTTTTTATCCATTCGTCTACTTATGGACACTTGGGCTGTTTCCAGATCTTAGCTATTGTAAATAGTGCTGCTATGAACATGGGGGTACCTATGTTCTTCCTGATTGGTGTTTCAGGCTTCTTCGAGTATATTCCTAGAAGTGGGATCACTGGGTCAAATGGAAGTTCAATTTTTAATTTTTTGAGGTAACACCATATTGTTTTCCATGGTGGCTGCACCAGTCTGCATTCCCACCAGCAGTGTACTAGAGTCCCCTTTTCTCCACACTCTCGCCAACACTTGTTGTTTGATGATTTGTTGATGGCGGCCATTCTGACAGGTGTGAGGTGATACCTCATTGTTGTTTTAATTTGCATCTCTCTGATGATGAGTGATGTTGAGCATTTCTTCATATGTCTCTTGGCCATTTGTATGTCCTGTTTGGAGAGGTGTCTATTCAGCTCCTCTGCCCATTTTTTAATTGGGTTCTTTGTCTTCCTTTTGTTGAGTTGTATGAGCACTCTATATATATTGGAAATTAACCCCTTATCTGATACTTCATTGGCAATGATGTTCTCCCATACAGTGGGTTGCCTTTCCATTTTGATGATTGTTTCTTTTGCTGTGCAGAAGCTTTTTAGTTTGATGTAGTCCCATGTGTTCATTTTTTCCTTTGTTTCTGTTGCCTTAGGTGATGTATCAGTGAAAATTCTGCTCCGTATGATGTCCGAAATTTTGTTGCCTACATTTTCTTCTAGAATTTTTATGGATTCACGGGTCACATTTAAGTCTTTTATCCATTTTGAGTTTATTCTTGTGTATGGTGTACGTTGATGGTCTAGTTTCATTTTTTTGCATGTAGCTGTCCAATTTTCCCAACACCATTTATTAAAGAGGCTGTCTTTACTCCACTGTATGCTCTTGCCACCTTTGTCAAATATTAATTGAGCGTATTGCCTTGGGTCCATTTCTGGGTTTTCAGTTCTGTTCCACTGGTGGTCTATATGCCTGTTCTTGTGCCAGTACCAGGCTGTTTTGGTTACAGTTGCTTTGTAGTATAACCTGATATCTGGTATTGTGATCCCACCTACTTTGTCCTTTTTCAAGATTGCTTTGGCTATTCGGGGTCTTTTTTGGTTCCATATGAACTTTTGAAGTACTTGTTCTAGTTCTGTGAAATATGTCGTTGGTATTTTGATGGGGATTGCATTGAATCTGTAGATTGCTTTGGGTAGTATGGACATTTTAATGGTGTTAATTCTTTCAATCCATGAACAGGGTATGTGCTTCCACTTTTTTATATCTTCCTCTATTTCTTTTTTCAATGACCTGTAGTTTTCTGCAAATAGGTCCTTTACTTCTTTGGTTAAGTTTATTCCTAGGTATCGTAATTTTTTTGGCGTGATGGTAAATGGGATTGTTTTTTCAGTTTCTCTTTCTGTGAGTTCATCATTGGTGTACAAGAATGCCATCGATTTCTTGACGTTAATTTTGTATCCTGCTACTTTGCCAAATTCATTTATTAAGTCTAGTAGATTTTTGATGGAGTCTTTAGGGTTTTCTATGTATAATATCATGTCATCTGCAAATAATGACAGTTTCACTTCCTCCTTTCCAATTTGGATCCCTTTTATTTTTTCTTCCTGTCTGATTGCTGTGGCTAAGACTTCCAGTACAATGTTAAATAAGAGTGGCGAAAGTGGACATCCCTGTCTTGTTCTCGTTCTTAATGGAAATGTTTTTAGTTTCTGTCCATTGAGTATGATGTTAGCTGTAGGTCTTTCATATATGGCCTTTATTATGTCGAGATACGATCCCTCTATTCCCACATTGCTGAGCGTTTTTATTAGAAATGAATGCTGGATTTTGTCGAATGCTTTTTTAGCATCTATTGATATGATCATGTGGTTTTTATTCTTCATCTTATTTATGTGGTGTATCACATTTATTGATTTGTGAATATTGTACCAGCCTTGCATTTCTGGAATGAATCCCACTTGGTCATGGTGAATAATTTTTTTGATGTATTGCTGGATCCGATTTGCTAGTATTTTGTTCAGGATTTTGGTGTCTGTGTTCATCAGGGATATTGGCCTGTAGTTTTCTTTTTTCGTAGTGTCTTTTTCTGGTTTTGGAATTAGAATTATGCTGGCCTCATAAAACAAGCTTGGAAGTCTCCCTTCTTCTTAAATTTTTTGAAATAGTTTGAGGAGAATGGGTGTTAGTTCTTTTTTGAATGTTCGGTAAAACTCCCCCATGAAGCCGTCTGGGCCTGGACTTTTGTTTGCTGGGAGAGTCTTGATTACCTCTTCAATTTCCTTAGTTGTTATTGGTATGTTCAAGTTTTCTATCTCTTCCAGGTCCAGGTTTGGGAGACTGTGTGTTTCTAGAAATTTGTCCATTTCACTTAGATTGTTGAATTTGTTGCCATATAGTTGTTCATAGTAGTTGTTAACGATCTTTTGTATTTCCGTGGTGTTGGTTGTTACTTCTTCTCTTTCATTTCTGATTTTGTGTATTTGGGTTCTCTCTCTTTGTTTCTTGGTGAGTCTAGCTAAGGGTCCATCAATCTTGTTTATCTTTTCACAAAACCTGCTCTTTGTTACATTGATCCTTTGAATTGTTTTTTTGGTCTCTGTCATTTATTTCTGCTCTGATCTTTACTATTTCCTTCCTTCTACTTGCTCTGGGGTTTTCTTTTTGTTTGCTTTCTAATTCTTTAAGTTATGAGGTTAGACAGTCAATTAGAAATTTTTCTTGTTTTTTGAGGTAGGCCTGTAGTGCTATGAACTTCCCTCTCAGAACTGCTTTTGCTGCATCCCATAGATTTTGTGTTGTTGTGTGTTCATTTTCATTGGTTTCCATGGAGTTTTTAATTTCTTCCTTGTTCTCCTCGGTGACCCATTCATTGTTTAATAACATGCTATTTAGCCTCCATGTGTTGAAATGTCTTTGCATGTTCTCGTTGCAATTGATTTCTAGTTTCATGCCATTGTGATCTGAGAAGATGCTTGATATGATTTCAATCTTCTTGAACTTGTAGAGATTTAGTTTGTGTCCTATCATGTGGTCTATCTTTGAGAATGTCCCATGTGCACTTGAGAAGAATGTGTATTCTGTAGTTTTGGGGTGTAATTCTCTGTAGATATCTATTAAATCCATTTGGTCTAGTTCTTCAATTAGAGTCTCTGTTTCCTTGCTAATTTTTTGCCTAGAGGATCTATCCAGTGATGTCAATGGGGTGTTGAAGTCCCCTGCTATAATTGTATTGTTGTCGATTTCTCCTTGGAAGTCCTCCAGAAGATTTTTAATATATTTTGATGCTCCTATATTGGGTGCATATATGTTTATCAAGGTTATATCTTCCTGTTGGATAGATCCTTTCAATATTATATATTGGCCGTCTTTGTCTCTAGTTATGGTCTTCATTTTGAAATCTATTTTATCAGATATGAGAATTGCTACCCCAGCTTTTTTTTGCTTTCCATTTGCTTGGAAAATTTTTTTCCATCCCTTCACTTTCAACCTATGTGAGTCTTTTGTTGTGAGGTGGGTCTCTTGTAAACACCATATAGATGAGTCATGCTTTCTTATCCAATCAGCTACTCTG